CAGATTGCTTTATAAATGAGGAACTATTAAAAAGGAGCAGGTCTAAGGTTAATGAGACACTCATTAAAGAGAGAGAATTGTAAAGCTGACAGTGCTCTGTGCCTGTATTGAAGGAGAGGCTATTGTTATAGGATGCTTGCTGTGCTGATATTGTAAACCACATGACAGATGGGTCAAGTGCTGATTACAGTATTCTAACATTTGGAATAGCAAGTAACATATTTGATAAGCTGGCAAGTTTTTATATATGATTCAACCCACAATATAAAAGCCACGAGAATTCCAAACTGAAAATAATTAAACGAGCTGGAAACAATCAGATACCACACATTTCCGTCCCCCCCCCCCAAAAAAAATGACAGATTTTGACATGTTGAAATTCCACAAAGGGAGCAAGAATATTCCCTACCTCACTGGAACTAATAATGGCCCTTCATCTGCTTTTGTAGAGCAATTCATTCCTGCCTCCTCACAGTGTCGGAGATAACAATAAACATTTGTAGGCACCTTAGGCTTTAGAGAGATCTGTCCAGCATTGTTTCATTTGCTCTTAGCATCATCCCTGCGAGGTACATAAGAAAGATATTAACATTCGCAGTCTGCAGCTGAGGAAACTGAAGCACAGGGAGGTTTAAGTAGAAGGTGTAAGGTTGCCTAAGAAGGTTAGGAAGCATGTTGAAGGGGAGAAGCCAGATCTTCCAGCTGTGAATCCATAAGTCTGATCATTGGAAAAAGGAAGCAGCTGTTAACACAGAGGCGTTCTTCATTGAACAAAAGTGTATCTTCTCTCTGCCAATGATGCTGCCACCATCATTCATGTGTATCCGTCTGGATAAGGGCATCCAGTATTTGCATTCAGCCTCTGAGTGTCTCGGTAGGGTGGTGCTGGTGATGCTGGTAAGAGTCCCGTCCCTTGTCGCACAATGTCACGCCTCTGTAACGTTGCAGTGACTCCTAGAAAGGAGCAGCTCTCCATTTGTGTTTTATCACATTTGCTTGTTTGGTTGTTCTTTTCAGAGTTTGTCATCTTACTTGTCACCTTTGTAAAAAGTCACTTTGTCTCTTTACTTTTTTTACTGTCTCTCCTCACCTACCTGAGCAGCCCCCCCAGCGCCTCCTGGGCCTCCTCCACCCTCCCAAACGCAGACCAGCATGCTATCTCAGAGGCTCAAAGGCATGCCTAGGCCAAAACCAAGTACTGTAAACTTCTACCGTTATTGTACTCAGCAGCTTTCTAGCTTAGTTTGCTTTTCCGTTCATTTTTCTTCTGGAAATTTTGTTTCGGTTTGGAACACTGAGCTGCGTGCGGCTCCGGCTCTCGAGTGTGACACTGTAGGTTTTGAGACAGTCGAAAGAGAGCATTTATTTCCAAATGTCCACATTTTTTTTTTTTTGTCTCTAGCTATGTCTGACATATGCAACATTTTCAAACCTCAATGTCAGCACAAAATAACATTGTTGCATAACATTTTGCATGACGATTTTTTTTTATATGTTATGAGCTTCAATTCTGTTGTATGAAATGTTTACTAAGTATATTGTAGTTGTAGTTGCCTTTCCTCAGTGCTCCAGCAGGTACACGATTGGGAGATAGGAATGTTGCAATACGTTTCAAGACAGCGGAAGTGACAAAAAAAAAAAAAAAAAAAAAAGTCACGTTTAAGCACAAATTTCTCCTTGACCTCTGCTGGGGGGAGGGGGGGAGGGAGGACGTGCTACAGGATTTTGCACAATATTTTCTTTAAAGACAACATCTTAGACAAGTTGTTTCCAGTACAATTTTTGCCATTTAGCTAGTCAGTTAGCT